CGAGGCTGGTGCTGTGTCCTTGCCCTGCTGCGCACCCCGGGGTGCCCCGTCCGCTGTGCCCCTGCACCCCGTGAGCTGTGCAAGCCCCGGCGTGTGAGGGGGGACGGGAGAGGAAGTAGTGAAGTTCTTCGGAAAGTTGCGTTTGGGGAAGAGGTAGGAAACAAATGGGCCTGAACTGCCGGGGCGGTGATGGTGGCATCCGGGGTGGTGGCAGCGGGACAGGCTGTGCCACCGGCCCTGCAGGGTCTGTGCTGGCAGTGTGGGCTGTGTGCGGGGCCCGTGGCAGCCCTGTCCCACGGAGGAGGTGTGGGACCGGGTTGTGGGCATCTGGGATGTGCCCCCGGGTTTGCTCTCCTGGGCAGTTGAACCCCGCGGCCAGGCAGGTGCTGTCTCTCCGTGCCCCTCTTCCCACGAGCATTGCTCGGTTTTGTGCTGGTGCCTTGTCTGCCAGCTCTGCACCAGCCTTGTGCTCCAGCACAACTGGCCGTGTGTCCGCAGCTCCGGAGCTCGTCCCCGTGCTCGCCTCCTCACCGTCCTGTGCCACTGCCTCCCCCTGTCCCTCTGCCACCTGTGCTTATGTCGGCCCTGACGCCCCAGGACCTCGAGGTCCCCCTCGAGATGGGGCCTCGTGCCCCGGGGAGATGGGCAGGGCAGAGACCGGCAGGGCACGTGGGTCCCCGGGGCCAGGCAGGAGCCCCGGGAGGAGGAGCGGCTGTCGGAGGGGAGCCGGCTGCGTCTGATGTCACTGCGGTGCATGGTGGGTAATTATGCACGTTGCAATGAAAATAATAAGGCCGGCTCCACAGTGGTGTCTAAAAATACTGCTAATGCAGAGTGCCTGCCGGGCGCCTTTGTTTGTCACCTTTGGGTGGCTGCTTTGGAGCTGGCCGGGTGGCATCACGCCCCTCAGCAGTGGGTTTGGTTTCGCAGGTGGACTGTGACCCTTCCATGCCTCCTTGCAGTGGGAGAAGAGACAGGGCAGGTGTTGGCATGGGAGGTGAGGCGGGAGGCACCTGTGTGTGTTTGGGAGGCTCCAGTGTCACTCCCCTGCAGATGTGCAGGGAATCTCAGTGGGGTGGCAGGGCTTTGTCCCCCCCAGCTTTGCTTGGAGCGAGTGCTCTGAGTGGTGGCTGTACAGTGTCCCAGCGACCAGCCCTGATGTCTCCTGGCAGGTACCAGTGTGCTGGCGTGCCCAAAGGTGGGTCAGCACAGATTGGGGTTTGGGCCCTGGTGGTGTGGTCTGTCCATCACTGGCATTGTGTGGACAGGGCAGAGCTTGCTGGGCCAGGGTTTCTGGACCTGCCCCCTGGGGCTGCCTCCACAATGTGTTATGGCATGACCAGGACTGTGGCAACTTGCTGCTTTCTGGATGAGCAAAGGCCAGGGGAGGGAGGGATACGTGCCTGGAGTGGAGGGAAACGGTGTGATAGGTACTGGGTAGCACCTGGGTGCTGGCCCAGGGCAAGGACTGCCTGGTACACTGATCTCTGCTCCTTGGGCTCTGCCTGGCTGCTCTCTGTGCAGCTCTGGCTGCTGCTGTGATCCTTCCATCTGCTGCCAGTGCTGGAAGCTCCCACTGCAGTGGAGGGAGAGGCTTGCAGGGGTGATGAGAGCCATCTAGAGTCCACCAGACTGGCAGGGTGGCAGGGTGAAGGTGGTGTGTGGCAGGGCAGCAGCAGAAGGCCTGGAAGGACAGGAAATGGGGAGCCTGTGTACTTGGGTCTCTGTGACGAGTCTCTTCTGTTTTGTGTGTGGAGAGGTCGGAGTTGTGGTGGCTGCTCCTAGTTCTCAGTTGATGCTTCTGGTGGGCTCTGACTCCAGCTGTCAGTCATGGGAGGCTGAGCCTTGTCCTTCTTCACTGTGGAGCAAGTGGGGAGGTATCACCTTGCCTGTGTGCTGTGTTGCTTTGCCTTTAGGGTCATGGCTGTGTTTTTTGGGCCCCATGCTGGGCTCTCCCTTCACTGGAGGGGGAGAATTGCCACTGCCTCTGCTCTTGCCAGGCACTAACTCTGACCTCTGAAGCCACACATGGCAGTGGTGTTCCCCTGAGCAGTGAAACACACCGTCCTTACCTGGGCTCCCTTTGGTGAGTGGGGAACAAGGAATGGGGAGAGGAGACTGCGAATCCCCATTGATCCACAGCGTGAAAGCTGTGTGTTTGCATCTGCCTGTCCTGGATTGGGGCTCTGTGAGGGGAATTGATCAAGCTGTAAAACCCAGAGCCAGCTAATGAAATAGGGACTATAGATTTTTATTTTAAATGGAAGAGAGTTTACGAGAGATTTAATTATCCTTCGTTTATGGACCTGTTAGAGGAATGAAATAACAGCTGGCAGGTAGGGGCTGGGCTTCAGCTTGCAGCACTTTTCTCCCAGGTGTCTGCAGTCCTGCCACCAAGGGCAGTGTGGGGAGTGATGTGAAGTCACTCAGAGCAGAGCAGGACAGGGCAAAGTCCTGCTTGTCCTGCCAGGTGTCCCTGCTTCCCAGTGGGGGCTTCTGTGCTCAAATAATGGAGGGGCAGTTGGGGCTGGTGTAAGAACAGCTCTCCTTAACCCTTGGGCTTTGTGTGGGCCTGTCCTTGCTCTGGTGGACATCAGGGAGTTCAGGAGGCTGTGTCCCTCGAGGTGTCACTTCCCGGGGCCGTGGACAGCGAGCTGTCACTGACACCCCTGTACCTGCGCAGTGTGCAGGGTTTGTAAAGCAGAGCTGCAGAGCGCTGGGACTCACTGGGCTCAGCCGTGTGTCGGACACCAGCTGTAACGCTGTCACTACAGCCACTCCTCCCGTGTGCATCCACTCCACTGTCACGTGAGCCCAGCCACGGGCACGGCTCAGGAGGTGGTGGCAGCAAACGGCACAGTGCTGGTTTTTGGTGGAAAAGCCTGGCTTATGGATGCTTTTAGTTTTTAATTTCTGAATCAAGGAGCTGGTGCATAGCATTTTCCCACCATCTCTTGGCTCCCTGCTTGGACCAAGCTAGAGGAACATGGTTTGTCACCTGCCCTGTGTAGGTGAATGGTTGGCCAAGAGGTTTGCGTACCCACCAGGCAGGCGTAGCCCACAGGGTGCAGTCTGATGTGGCCAGAGGCTGCTAAAACATCCAAGGAAGCTGCTGGTGCTGGGGAGCCCTCCCAAAGGCCCTCTGACAGTGGTGTGCAGGAACTTGGGAGAGCTTGGCCCTGAGCCCTGTAGCGGAGATGCACAAGGATGTTGCATGGCTCCCTGAGACAGGTCAGTTCTGGAGGGGAGCAGCGTGGATCCGTGCTGTCGGCTCACAGGGGTGTTGGGAGAAGCCAGCCTGCTGATTCTCTGGGCAGCAGAGCTGCACCATGGTGCTTATCCTTTCCTTCGCCCTTGCATCCGCAAGTCCTCAGTATTTCAGGGCAGGAGCCATTTCCTGGAGGGCATGAGCAGCCCAGGGTGCCCATGTGCAATATGGGGTGTTTGGGTTTTCTGGAGCAGAGTGGTTTGGGAGGGCTCCACACTTTGCTGCTTGCATGGCAGAGGGCAAGGCAAGCAGCATCCCCAGCAAGCAGCACTCATGATGGGCCTTGGGAATATTATTTTCCAGCTGCAGCTTGATCCCTGGAGAGCTGGCCTTGCTGGCTGTGGAGCTGTAGCTCTGGGCTTTCCTTGGCTACTCTGGAAAGCAGGATGAAGGATTTCAGCTTGACCATACAGAGCAGAGGACTGGCCTGCAATGCTTTGTGTTAGGAGCTGCTTCCTCTTGTGTGAGCTTGTGTTGTGGTGATCCAGGCCTCCAGCACCTCTCGCTGTTGCCCCTGGAAAGGGAGGGCTCATGCTCTGATCCTTCTTTCCCCCAACCTGGCAGCGCCAAGCTGTGGTCCCCTCTGGCGGGTTGTCTTTTCCCTGCTGTGCTGGTGGGGCTCCCTGGCAGCGTTTTCATTTTTAGCCAAGTGTCTTAGTTGCTTTTCTCTCCGTGCCTGCGCTTTAGGAAAGTGGCGAACAATAAAAATCCACTGGCAAGAACTGTAGCAGAGGTCAGGCAGCTCCTGTGCCCCAGGCTGCTCTCTTGTCACCGCACAGCCATGCTTTGTGCGTGGGGGCTGTCAGCTTGAAAGTCATGTTTTTGCTCTTAAAGCCATCCCCAGGCACTGGTGTGGGGTTCTGTGAGTGATGTACTGGGGAGATATTGCAGCAAACCTCCTTCGCATTTAGGGCAGTGGTCACTGCCTGTTTCGATGCATCTTGTAAGCAGCCTCTTGACAAATCTTAAATCAAGGACAAAGGAGGGTAAGTGGTTGCTGAAAATCATGAATTTCTCTGAGCTCCTTTCTGAAAGTGATCGTTGCAGGTTGTCGGTGTCCCCGCAAGCTTCTTAAAATGCAAAACAAAACACCCAGCCCAACTTCCTGACTGTCACTAGTGCTTTCAAGAGACGCTTCGTTTTGCTGAGTGGTAATGAAATTGGTCTTCGCCATCCACCAGCTCCTGGCTTTGCCTCTGGAGCTCCTTTGCTGGAGCTGCTCTGCCTGAGCATAGCTGGGGAGCAGTGGGGAAGGTGTCTGGAGCCCAGCCACTCCTGCTCTTGGTCCCTTGCTTGGCAGATGCCATTAGCACTGTCCACAGCATGTAGCAAGCGGGCTGGACTCGAAGGGATGCTTGTGGAGAGGTGGCAAGTGAGCTGGGGACTCCAGGGATGCTGTGTGGGGATGGGGAGTGGGGACTGAATCCCTGCTCCCTGGGTTGGCTCTGCCCAAGGAGAGATTGGATGTGTTTTAGGAAAGGGCTCTTTGAAATGAGAACTAAAAGGTGAAATGCAGAGGAGTATGGAGTCCTGAACTGCAAGCTCTGTTGGTAGGAAGCAAGGGAAGGACTGTGGAGGCTGCCCAGGCATTTGCTCTTCTCCCCTCACCCGTGTGCAACTGAGATGTGGAACCTGTTTCTTGATGCTGTTCAGCTACAGAGGTGCCTGAGCTGGACCCAGTTGCTGCACCAGCAGCCTTCTGGTCATGCTATTCAGGTTGTGCTGGTGTTTCTAGGGCAAACGAAGGAAAGTGGAGATATCTCTGCAGATTATTTACCCTGTCCTAAGGAAATGAAGGCTTGTGCAAGCTGCAAGCTTATTGTTCATTTGCGAGCATTCTCCTCTCTGCTTTGAACTTGCTGGATGGTGTCAGCTGGGGTAGGTG